ACTTTCATGTTTAAATTCGAGCATCGCCAAATGTGATTCCATAGTTTCAATTTCGGGCTCGGAACCCATACCTGCGATTCCAATTTCTGCCGTTCCAAAAGATATCATCGGTGTTAATAAACGCTACAGAGAAACGAAGCCGCAGTAAAAACCGATTAAATTCGGCATGGGTATCACGTATCTTGAAAAGTGGCATTTCGTCGTTTTTTTGACATTTTGTAGGTTTTTTGTGACATAACGTAGGTTTTCCAACAAGTTGTTGTACACTTGTTGTGAACTCGGTTTGTAGCTGTACGTGTAGCTTAAACGTCAGCGAACTATTTACCTAGTCTGCAAAATGGCATTTCATCAGGTTTTTAACAGTTTTTAGGTTTTTTCATAATACTCCGGCCGGTGATTTTGATTCCTGAACTCGTACTCATGGTTTCAATACCAGCATTTATGAAAGTCCATCGGGTTGATTTTTGACGACTATTTGAAATGCTTCTGTAAATTCCGATATGATTTCAATTTGAAACATTCCAAAGAAAGAATTATATACTAATTTGAAGCATCAAACAGGTTGGAAGCGCTGTTGAGGGATATTAACTGATACTTTCCCAGAAGTGCTATGTTGATTGGAGCCTTTTGATATTTTTATAGAACTTCGAATGTGTAGGAACTTCACATGAGACGCATTAAAAATATACATCATTCGAACGACGTCATTTCGCAGATATCTGTCGGTATGGATGAGGGAGTAAAGTCTATTTAGACGTTATATGTGAGTAGTTAAGGAATTGTGACTGTACGGAGAAGAGTGAAGCCACCAACCAGCTTCCTGGAAATAAGGGGAAAGTTAGCAGATAAAAATTCTGCTGCGAAGGACATTGCCGTCCCTTGTGGTAGTTGTGTCTTTATGATATCGTTATGCTTCTACAGCGTGTCACAGAATATATAAACTATATAATTTGACTCTAGTTTGAGAGACATTTTACAAAAAATCAACTTTATTAGATTCATTTCTTCAAAGACGCTTTCTGTAAGTCAGTTATTCTCAATAGCTTTTAAACGACAATGTAGACTTTAACGAAATTTTGCAGGTAAATAACCAGTTAAGACCTCATATTGTAATGGTGTCATGTTATAGGCCGACTAGCACATAATCCTGAGCGTCTGTGAACTGAAATATCGTTTCCTATGTAAATCGGGTGCGTAGGTTCCGAATCCGATAACAATTTAATGCTGGGATTTACAGGTGGCAAATTTTTAATCCCAGATTCGGCTCTATGGCATTAGGATCATACTCCAATTACGTAACTGCTTGAACACCAGTCTCAGCTACTACACCTTTTCATGCAAGACTGTACAGAGAAGCCATTGAAATCCAAATTTGACCAGGACAACTTCAACAAATCAGAGGAAGCTATTAAAATACACAAAACGTTTGCCTATAATCAAAAATATGGGAAGAGCGCTATTTCAAGAATCATACCACCCGGGAGCCATTGACCGAGAACTAAGGAGAAGCCGCGGCACTTTGAGAGAGATAAGAAATAATTATATTCACTATACACTGTCGAATTACAAGTCATATATGTACATGCTAACAGTAATTACACACAACGCAGTCGCGGTGGTCATTTCCCGTAATTCTCTTAAAAGTTTTTGGAAACAAAAAAAATCACAATTTATAACTTTGAACATGACCTGTCTCCAGAAAGTAACCCGTCAAGCACAGCTGATAGATATACTTCATTGGCAGCATATTCAGCAATGATTTTTTCATAGAGCAAATATCACTGATTTTATTCACATGCAGACCAATACACACAATCAGCCAGACGCGATCTTGCTATTCAGCCAACTTTCTTCTCAGAGATAAAAACTATAGACTACTCAGCTCCACAAAACATATGCAACCAACAATGCGTGTAGTTGAGCCATTCCTGCATAGATGGACGTTCACAACAATCCTAGTGAGCAAACATGGAATGACTGTTTGCACTCTAAAGACTACCTAGTCTGCAAGATGACATTTTATAGGTTTTTCTTGACGTTTTATAGATTTTTTACATAATAGCCGTGTGGGAGTACCTAAAATACAGATACGGTCAGTTTCATGCAGGGAGGTGTAAGCCATATACAAGGACGTATACCCTGCTTTGAGTGACATTGTGCTGATTAAACCGAACACTAATCTCGTTGATACGCACCATCCTAGATGACGCAGCTTAACTTATTTTTTCAAATACTTGTAAAGAGAATTGTCAAAAACGCACAAGTTAAAATAGTAGCCAGGTGATTAACAGAACAGAGCGATAGTGTCCGCCGAGAACAAACCGATACGGCCACGCTGTTGGAGCCTGCTGGAGGCATAGGGTATGCAACTGACATACGGGAGAGACCAAAATCGTCAAACACCCTAGAAGTTGTCTGCAGGGACCTGAGAGGGAAGCATTCGAGGATGTTGAAGGAATGCGCAACCCCAAGAACCCATGTATCGTAGGTGATAGACGGTTTGTGAATGTAGAACGCGGAGGTACCAACCGGCGGATTTCTAATTCGGGGCCAGAATGTGTGTATGTTGCATGCAGTGTCCCAAGAATGGTATATATGAGACGAGACTATATTTTATATAATTAATTTATACGCAATACATATTTTATAAAATACCTACATTTGTGTAGCGCCAAAGTGTGTGACTATTTTTAAAAAGCAAGTAGGTATAGCTTTTCTTGATTTTGGTTGGTTTAATTATGGCGTCGAGGATGTTTATTTTATATTGCAAATGTAACTATCGAACGACTGCTCTGTGTTAATCTATTTTCTGATGCATTTGGAAATATTGAAAACTATGAAAGTCAGTTAGATTCAAACTTTTTGATGAGGCGAAAATAGTAACAGAATATATAGGTACCTATCAGTAAACTTGACGTTATTTTTTGAATGTTATGTATTTCTTCCATGCTTATTGTACGTTCTATGTTATTTTACAGAATAAAAGCGGATGAAAACTTGGAAAGTGCATGTTTTAATATACATACATATTTTTTATGTTAGCATAATTAACAAAACCCTGCTTACATTTGTTTATAAATATAATGCAATTCGAGGAGGACAACAGAGGGGGCTGTGTCAATGATCAAAATCAGATAAACAGTCGCCGTTTTAGTTTCGTTTGTTAGTGTTCGGCGCAATCGTTAGATGGAGCTGTTAACGGTGGTACCAGGAATCATAGGAGAGAGTGTTATCTGTAGTGTAGCTAATAATCTGTGGTGTCATGTCAGCATTATCATAGACTTGCAGAGCTGCTGAAGATGCCAACCGCATTTAGTACATTATTTAGATTGTCTAGATATATACAAAACAAGTAATATTCACCCATTCCTTTGCATAGGCCCGGTTTTTCAATCGCAGGTTAACTACGACCTTGGTCTTATCTTATAGTTATTTATGAAAAAGCGTTTTTCAATATCATGTTTATAGTAAAACGGAAGTTAACTTTAACCAGAAGACTATCTATGAGTTAACTAGAAAGGCTGCAGTTAAATAGCAATACCTGACGTTTTTTGACATAACCTTTGACGTTTACTCAAAAAATCACAACAAATCCATATCAATATATCGATTAATTTAAGCTATAAATATGTTTATGGATTAAGACGTGAATGCGTATAGCGGTGACGAAGACGCGAGAAGGCCAAAAATAATCGGCCGAATTACTTTGATGAATTTGATGACCTCGATTTCCTTGCAAGATTTCGTCTTACAAAAAGGACTGTAGAAACTCTCCTGGACGAAATCTATGAAGATTTAGTATATCCTACAAGCAGGTAGATGTATATATTATTGTTTATTTCCATATTTTTATATGACTGTCATTCCAGGAATAACTGCTTAACGCTCCAACAGCAGCTGTTGTTAGCACTGCGCAATGGAAGTTTTTTAACTGTTGCTGGACATTTTGCTGGGGTTTCCAAATCAACTGCATCCAAAACAGTCCGAAGATTCTTAAAAGTACTAACGAGTAAAAGAAGTAGTTACATAAAAATGCCGGATACTCTTGAGGCTCTTGCCAGGCCAAAGCAATCCTTTTATAAATAATATAGCTGGGTTTCCTCAATGCATAGGTGCAATTGACTGCACGCATATAAAAATTGTTTCTCCCGGTGGAAGCTATGCAGAGCTCTTCAGAAATCGAAACCAGTCTTTTCACTAAACTGTTTCTGACGCAGATTCATACGTTTTAGGAAATTCTCAGCTCTGCAGACAATTTGAATCAGGTCACTTTGGCAACTCTTTGTTGGCTGGTTACAAAGGTTATCTTATTAAATGCTATTTGATGACACCATTAAATACAACTACAACTCCTGCTAAAGAATTATACAATGAATCTATCATTCGTAGTCGCAATGTTATAGAGAGAAGAAATGGAGTTTGGAAAAGAAGATTTCCATGTCTAGCTATGGGTCTCAGAGTTCATCTAGATATAGCTCAAGCAGGAACAGCAGTGCTACATAATATTGCTTATCCTATTAGTCCTGAACAGGAAAATGCTATTAACATGGTTCATGTAGTTAATGTGAAGACATCCTGTAAATATTAGGTTGACACAAAATGCAATCAACAATGTTAGACCTTACCTTATTAATAATTAATTTGGAAATTTGAAAATCGATTCAATACATTCACTGATGCTCAGTGAATGACTCGATGCTAGATGAAAGTTGTTTAGTATAAGATCTGTGATTATCCATGGCAAGTGGATAAGAGTTGTGGCCAAAATTGTTGGTGCCCAAAAAAGGTGCACACGGCATTTGAAAACAGATGTCCCAAGCCTCAAAGTGGACACTCAGTCCATCTTTTAGGAAACCTAAAGTTTTGGCCATAGCTCTCATCTGACATATTTATTATCCCCTATTTATTGTAACTACAGAATGAAAATAAACATGATTTTCTGAAAACAGTTTATTATTAAACTAACATATTATCCTCAAAAATGCGAAATACAAAAAAAGTGAAAGTGAAAATATTCCTGAAATTAACAAAATAAATCTCTTGTTTTCTACTTATCAAATGCATTGATCTGTAAATCCAACAGCTGAACCTTGTTTTTGATATATTTCCATTTCTTTATTGTGTTCTTCGATGAATTTTTCTTTTTGTAGTTTCAAAAAATTCAGCTTTTCCTCCATTAGTAGATAGTTAACAGAAATATATTTTTTATTTTGTACCGTTTTCGTACAAGATAGCTTTGTAGTTTTGGGCCTCTTCAGTTGTCGGGGAGTATAGGAGCTGCATTTCCCATTATTGAAGACCACTTCACTGTCATCACAGTTATTTGCATAAGGAACTAAAAAATGAATAATTAAAAAATGTTTCAATCAACGGCAATGAGACTTACCATGTTCAGTAACCACCTCATCTTGGTCACTACACTTATCATCATAATTGTTTGTCAAACCTACTAATTGTGGTCCCATTATTTCTTGTAATTGTGTATCAATCAGATCGAATGCTTGCAATTGGCATGAACCTCCCCCTGTCTTGATTATATTGCTTTTGTTTGTAGCAAATTTGCTTTTTGTTTTTTTCTTTAAATTGAAATATTTATCTCGTAGAGTTTTTGTCTCTCGGTGGCACCCTGTTAGGGCTTGGAAGTCATGTTCGATTCTCTGCCATACTGACTTTCCTGTTTCCACGTAACTGTGCCACTTGTTTTGCTCTCTATTACATCTTTACTTTTGCTCACCAATGATATTAGCATCATTTCCTGATTCTTCGAGACATTTTGAGCTCACTTTTTGATCTCTTTCTCCATGCTAGAAAACAGTTTTTGAGAAATTTTAGCAACAAGAATAGAGGTATTGTGTATCCCCTTTATTTTTGGATTGTAGATTATAGGAGTGATATTAAAAAAAGTGGAAAATACGCTATTCAGCAGATATTTACAACTTAATCGTTTTTGGACCTTAGTATGGTTCATTAGACATTACATTTGCAAACTTTTTTATCACCATTTATATAATGCCGTCTACAGGGTCTACTACTAAACATTTGTACGAGCCATGTTTGAAAAAAATTACCTTGCTTGATGAAGGTTTTATGTTTTATTCGTTTTTAATGAAATTTCCGGATTTCGATTTAGACTGTTTTAAGAACTTTAATTTACTCGAACTGTCATGTATGACGTATGGCACGGGACACAGATGCCGAGCGCACAAAACGCATAGAACACGATATCTAAGAACCGCAGATACAGGGCTGTAACATAAATATATGTTGAACTTCTGGTAAGTTAACTGACGCTGTCAAAATACTTGAAAAACGAATTTGCAAGTAAATACAAGTTAACTTCCTGGCGATAGTTAACTAACCAAAAAGTTAACTTGCGATTGAAAAACCGGGCCATAGAGGCAGATTAGTTTGAGTTCTCTCTCTCTCTCTCTCTCTCTCTTTTATGGCCGCGTACATCCTCCCGTATCAGCGTTCTCCGCGAAATTGCGTAAGATTACCCGTTATATCGGCGTCTATCTCGGAGGACATATACATACATAATATTACGTACGCGCATTGTATACAACATTCCGCTGAGCGGCACATATATGGGGATGCCGTTATCGGAGGTTGAAAAGCAGCGCCTCGTCGCCTATATATTATTCCCTTGTTTCAGTCCTGATGGCAACCATTTCCTTCGCCTCTAATAACTTGATGTTATCTCTGTCGTTGCCATTATGCAAAATCGGCCGTCCCTGTATACGATCTCCAGGACCGTAATAGCTACGATTTCCACAGGAAAACCTTAAAGATACTCAGTGTCAATTTGAGTGTCTATACCAGATAAGGTATTTTTCAATAGTGACTTTGAGCCTAACCTTCAACGTTATTTCAATTTTTGTTTTTTGAATGGAATGCGCCGTTTTGACACCACCGATCAAGAGGGTCGAAAGTTCTGTCAGAATATATATTGAAATCTAAAATCAAGGGCACCACTAAGATCAAATGAACGTCAAATGTGTGAGCTTACAGAAAATTCCTAGAAAAACAGACCTTTAGTATCTTTAAGCACGAATTTTAATATTGACCTTGAGTATTATCTTCAAGGCCATAATAATGACTGATAACGTACTAGATCGTACAGTTTGTCATTCCTGGTGGCAGTTACAAAACATGACCTTGAGATGACTGGACGTGGGGTTCAAGGTAAATCCAATGTCATCATGAACTCCTTGATTAAAGCTAGTATAAACGTCATGTTAATCTTTTAAAAAATACTTTACCAGTTAGAATATAGAGTCGTTCCGTGGCTTTTCTTATACTTGCTGTCCTCCCCAGGGGCTCCTAGGGGCTAGATTTAAACGATAAGGGACATCGGAATAGTTCACTCCATTTGGTACCCCTACATACGCCAAGCCACAATATACAGTAATGGAAAACCAACCATGTTTGTGTTAATATTTTGTAGCATAACCATTATTATCAATCACCGCCTGGCATCGTCTTGGCATAGATTGTAGAAGTTTCTTGATATAAGATTCATCAATCTGTCTCCAATTTTGCTCTAAAGCGGCAAAAAGTTCATCCTTGTTTGAATAATTTTTATCTCATATTTGCTTATCTAAGTATTCCCATAGATTTTCAATGAGGTTTATATCGGGAGACTTTGAAGGCCATTTGAGAACTGGTATTTTTTCATCCAGAAAGAATTTCTTTGCGAAATTTGAAGTGTGCTTCGGGTCACTATCTTGCTGGAAGATTGATCTTAAGGGCATATTGTCTTCCATATAGGGTAACATGTGTGTATATACAACCTTATCCATAATGCCATCTATTCTATGTAAAGGTCCCATCCCAAACCCCGAAAAGCACCCCCAAACCATAACAGATCCGCCTCCATATTTGACAGTGGGCAAAGTGTACTGGGAGTTCAATTTTTGTCCACTAGGTCGTCTAACATAATGCACCATCTGATCCAAACATACTGAACTTGGATTCGTCACTGAAACATACCCTCATCCAGTAACAGATGCTCCAATGAAGATGCAACCGTGCAAATTGTAATCGGTAGTTACGGTTTTTCCTCGAGATTAGCGGCTTCTTACTCGGGAGACGTGCAAATAACTTGATCATTTAATCTTCTACTTATAGTTTTCGTAGAAACACTGACAATTCCTTTTGTCTCGATTTCGGCTTTTATTTGTCTTGAGATTTGACACGGATCTTTGGACGAAATTACTTTTATTAATCTAACTGATCAAGCATTTAGTTTTCTAGGCCGACCACTTCTTCTAGAGGCTTTTTGTTTATATTTGTTCAATATTACCCAAACTGCTTTACGCTTCAGCTTCAAATTTTTTTCAATGTCGACTTGACGTTGACCATCTTTGTATAACTCAATGATCTTAGTTATCAAATCGAAAGAAATTTCTGGACACGCATCATGGTCTTAAAATCACTCAACTTATTCCACAATACTTGATGAACACAAACTAATCCTCTTCTGACACGAAACTGTACTAAACTAATGTTGAAAAGTATTTGTCTACATATTTTTGTCAGTGCTTATATTCAGACTTGTATTACAGATAATGTAAAAACAAGGGACTTTTTCTACTAATAACGCATTTGTTTATGGAGCAATGAAGTATGAATTCGTTTTCTAAAGATATTTAGGTAAATATTCATATTTGTCTATATATTTTTGTCCATTACTGTAGGTGTTAGAGCTTTTAATTCATATATATTGAGCTCGGCAATAAACGAAACTAAGCTGAAACCAAGCATACATAAAATGACTGTTCTTCTACAAAGCTAAAAAAGAGATCGTAATATTCTCGCTAGGCTCATACATTACCCTGTTTATACCGCATGTGTGTCTAGTGTCATTTTAAATTAACTATGAATAAATAATTTCTTACTGCTTTTCAACGCAAGTCTATTTCTTGAGGAATCTACAAAGATTGGGTCCTTATTTTTCCATCCACTTTCCGTTTTCGTGACAATTTAGCTCAGCGTTCTTCATATCCTCTGCAGAAAAGATTAATCGCCTAGCTCCGTAAACTAGTATTGCCTTATTTAATTTTTTAATAAATACTAGTCAATCTAGTCAAGGCGGTTGGTAAATACTGTGGTTGGTACCGACAAACGAAGTTGAAGACATCGTGTTTATGTGAATTTTGAACCCCCCCTAAATTAATGGAATTATGGAAATAAACTTTTGGGTTGGCCAAATATTCTTGGAGCTCAGCTCATGACGTATCTACAGAGCTTAACCGAGTTAGGGTTAGCTCCGATGGACGCACAGATTGTGAAAATGTTTTATTCTTTTTGTGTGATCTAGGAAGATGAAGTGTTGTTAGGCTGGGTACAGACCTGTACATTCTATTACAGAAATTCGCGCTAAAACGGTGAAGGCGCGTATCTCTCAGCATCCAGATTACAGGAAATGACTCGTTATTTTTCGGAAGTATCGCTTCGTTATCGCTTAAGTCAAACGAATGGGAGCTCTTGCAGCAAAACAGTCATTACCTGAAGGTAATTCAGATTTATGGTACGATATATGAATGAGGGGCAATTATGAAGGGATGTTTTCACTCTAATCATGTTGATTGTTTTGTATATCTACATCACCAACTGATATTTATCTTAATTACCTTTAAAAGTTATCAACTCTAATTACATGAATTGTTGATTGTTGAATCTTTATCAACAAATATTTCGAACTGTCAAGCTAGTTAAAAGGTCTAGAGGTGGCCTGTAGATTTATTTTTGAAAGCAATAGATTTTTCACAATAGTATTTCTTACTATCGTAGTTTTACAACAAATGAATCGAATGGTTGTGATGCTGGATAATTATCTAGTGCAAGCGTTATAAAGTTGTCCTTAGCCGGTGAGTGTTCAAGAGCAAATACTTAAAAGTACTATTTGAAACTACTGAAGTACTCAGCATAGTACTCTTCCAAGCAGCGATAAATTAATTTAAATCTGATACTGCTTTGTACACAACTAGAAGTTGCAAAACGTAGCAGTGTCGAGGTGGTGGTTGCAATTCGCATGTACATACCTAACAAGTGAAAACAAAGAGTCGTAGATTAACAAAGTTGCTATGGTGATAAGACCATAGACGGAATTCAAATTAAATTTCGTGGAGTGGAAATGTTTAGATTGCTGGGCGTAATCATGGTGTGCTTGCTCAGAGCTGCTGCTGCTGGTGCATATCTGAATTGACGACGCAAGAGTATGCCAACCAACCACCCGCTATTCTGTGCCTCTACGTGTTTATATCTCTTAATGGGGTTTTAAACTGGGGGTGCTCGAGGGTGGAATGTTTTACAGCAACACTATTAAAGCTCCTCGGCAGGTACTCAGATTATATTCCCTATGTAAAACAAACATTCATAGTTGTTTCAAACTCATTTGTTCTTTTTTGAGAATATCAAGCACATTTGTTTTTTTTTAATTTACTAATTGTTTATTTTTAGCCGACTATTGAAAGTCTCCATCTCTATGCATCCGTATCAGGCTCCTAGAATATGGCAGCTCCGACGCAGTGACTTTCAAACCATTTACAAGGGTTTAGCTGCTTCGGAACTGACATCCCATTTTTCAATATTTTTGAATGAAATTCATACAGTATGTTCAGAAGACAATTGCGCAGGGTGCTATAGAAGCACTTTTTGAAATTTCGTTTTTGCACAAGCTTCATGCTGGGTTGAAATGCTTACTATTTTTGTTGAACTTCGCGATTTTTCT